GGGTGCACGGCTGGCGGCGGGCACCGCGCTGCGCCGCGCCACGCCGGCCTCACGCCGCCCTTCCCTGCGTGCAGCTGGCTCGCCTACCTGCTCTTCTTCATCCTGGTGCTCGCCGTGTGCCTGCTCGCCTGCCTGGCGCTGGCCAAGCGCTCCCGCTGCCTGCTCAGCACGTGAGTGCCGCGGCGGGACACGCGGGCTCCGCGGCGCTGCCACCCGCTCCGTGCCCGAGGCCCTGGCATGCACGCTCTCCCTGCAGGATGCTCTGCTGCGGCCTCCTCACCCTCATCCTCAGCTGGGCATCCGCGGCCGTGGACCTGGCAGCGGCCGTGGTGAGTGCGGCGTGCGCAGGATGGAAGTGCCCGTGCGCGTCTGGGCGGCACGAGGGGAACAACGGGACAGCCGCTGCGGGAGCAGGGGCACCAGCCCCGCTGAGGCCGCGTCTCGCCCCCGCAGGGCACCAGCGACTTCTGCGTGGCCCCTGACAAGTTCCTGTTGAACGTGACGGAGAGCGAGCTGAGCACGGGTAGGGGCAGCGCGGGGCGGCACCGGCTCCGCTGGCACCTGTGTCGCCGCCGCTCGCTCGCACGGCTCCCCTTTGCTTGCAGAGGTGCTGCACTACTACGTGTACTGCGAGCAGAGCCGCAGCAGCCCCTTCCAGCAGGTAGGAGCGGCGCGGGGCGCGCCGGGGCCGCCGGTGCCGCGGGGCCGCCCGTGACCGGCGCTCGCTCCGCTCGCAGGCGCTCACCGTCCTCCAGCGCTCGCTCACCACCATGCAGACGCAGACGCAGGCGCTGGTGCAGCTGGCGCTGCCGCAATTCCCCGCGGCCGAGGTAGGTGGAACGGGGCTGGGTGCTGCAGAGCCGGGGGCCACGCTGTCCTCACGCTCTCCGTCCCGCAGCCGGAGCTGCTGGCGGCGCAGCGGCTCCTCAACGCGTCCGAGAGCAGCCTGCAGCGCCTCACCGCCCTGCTCGACTGCCGCGGGCTGCACAAGGTGAGCGGCGCGGGGCCGGGGCGCGCGGCGCCGGGGCGCGCGCTGAGCCCTGCGCTGCCGCAGGACTACCTGGACGCGCTCCTGGGCGTCTGCTACGACGGCGTGGAGGGCCTGCTCTACCTGCTGCTCTTCTCGCTGCTCGTCGCCGCCGCCTTCTCCACGGTCACCTGCGCCGCGCCGCGCGCTTGGAGGCACCTGGCGCCCAGGTGGGTGCGCGGGGGGAGCCGCCGCGGCCCCGCGCGCGGCCGGGGGGGAACGCCGGCACCCAGCGCCCCGCTCGGCCGCCCCGCAGGGAGCGCCGCTACGATGACATGGCCGAGGAGGACCCCTTCAACCCGCAGGCGCGCCGCATCGCCGCGCACAACCCCGCGCGCGGGCAGCTCCGCAGCTTCTGCAGCTACAGCAGCAGCCTGGGCAGCCAGAGCAGCCTGCACCCGCCCGCGCAGACCATCTCCAACGCGCCCGTGTCCGAGTACATGTAAGCGGGGGAACCGGGGGGGACAGGGGGACCCGGGGGGGACAGGGGCGCCCCGAGGCGGCTCGGCACCCGCTCACAGGCTCGTCCCGCAGGAACCAAGCGGCGCTCTTCGGCGGGAACCCGCGCTACGAGAACGTGCCGCTCATCGGCCGCGGCTCGCCGCCCCCCACGGTACGGTGGACGGACGAAGCCAAGTCCTTCCTGTGAGGGCTGGGGGCGGTGGGACCGCGCGGGCGCCTCTGCCGCAGCCTCAGGGACAGTCCCCAGCTGCTCCCCGCACGGAGAGCCCAGGGCCGTCCCCTCTCCATCCATCACTCTTTATTTTTGTGTCTCTCTCTGCAGTCCCTTGTCACACTGGGGCTGCCCCTTGCATGCCTCTCATTGAGCCCACCCTGCCTGTTAACGCATGCTTTCTGTTGTTGTTTTTGGTCTTTATTATCATTTATTATTTTGCATCCCTTATTTCGGAGCTAAGTTGCCCGTCAAGAGTAAGTGGAGCCGCTTCCTCTCCCTGCCTTGTGCCCAGGGCTCCCGGTGCCCCCGTGCCCGGTGCCGCGGGGGATGCTGGAGGTGACCGAGGACAGGGGCTGGATCACCGGGGGCTGTGATGATCCCAAGGGGGGTTGATCCAGAGCTGTGCTGGGAATCCCACCAGCAGGAAAGCCAGGAAGGGGCTCGATGGGAACCATCCTCGCTGGCTCCAGGATCCGGCGCCGCGGCTCCGTCCCCTATCCCATCTCCGCGCGGTTCCTTCCTTTCCCTTTGCGGTTCCTCTGCTTTGCTGCCTGTGTCCGAAGCCTTTTCCTCTCTGCATCCCGGGCTCCGGCACGCCGCCATGGCGACGCCGTGGCCCCGGAGGCTGCCGCGCTCCCTTTCCCCGGGGAAAAGGGAACATTTGGCAATCAGGTGCATGCCGGGCGCGTCGCCAGCGCGGGAGCCTCTAATCGGCTTGCGCCGCGCTCGCAGCTGGCTCCGCGTCCCGCGCCCGGGATTACCGGGACACCCCCCGTCCAGCCACGATTCACATCCCCGAGGACAGGCTGGCACGCTCCGAAATAACCAACTCGCAATAATCTTCCTTAATGCTCCGCCGGGGCTTGCTCCCCCCTCCCAGCAAAACGCTGTTGGGAGATGTTTAATTCCTTGTCCTGCCTGGGGCGGGGGGAGACGGGGGATCAGCCCTGGAGCAGCGCCGAGCCACTCGCCAGCGCCTTGGGGATGTCGGGAATGTTGAGGATGCGCCAAGGGCCGGGTTTGAGAGAGGGAAGGGGAAAAAGGAGGGCAAAGCAGCATCCCGGTCCCTAAACGGAGCCCGCGGCGCCGGATTCTGCACGCTGCGGGTTGCCGGGCGTGCGGGACGCGGCGGTGCCGGCGCTCACGGCTGCTCTCCCCGCAGTACTCGCCCAGCATGCGGGCCACCTACCTCTCCGTGGGCGAGGAGCGCGCGCGGCGCGGCGGCGCCGAGCCCCGGCCGTAGCCGCCGTCCCGCCGCGGGAGCCCGGCCCCGGCCGCCGCCGCACCGCTGCAGCCTTCCTGAGCCGGGGGCATCCGCGGGGAGCTTCCCTCCGGAACAGCGGCGAGCTCGCGGACTCTTTGGTAACCTCCGCGCCACCGCCACGTCCGTGACCACGTGGGAAACCTCCTGGAGATGCTCGGTTTTCGTTTTCCTTTGATTTTTTTTTTAATTTTTTGTTTGGTTTTTTTTTTGGTTTGTTTTGTTTTTGGCTTTTAATGTTTTAACAGTACCGATAGCTCTTTTTTAAGCGCATGAGAACTAACCCCGCCGGGGCACCCAGCCTCGTTTGTACGTGCCCTCGGGGGGCAATAAACTCTTGTACTAAATATCTCGGCTCCTTCGTGCTGCTGTCCTGCGGTTTCCCGCGGGTTTCCCTCTCTCCTTCCCCGCTTTTCCCTATGGATGGTCCCTCTTTTCCAACCAGGCTTTGTTCCCTTCAACGCCCTCCCCAACATGGCGGCGGCAGCGGCCACCGCGTGGGTCCTCGCCCTTCCCATCATGGCGGCAAGTGGTGGCCGTCGTCACGTGCGCTCTCCCCGCCAATCCGGCTCTCGCCCTCCCAAACGTGGCGGCAGGTAACGGCTGCCACGTGAGCGCGTTGCCAGGCAACGTCAGACGCGGCCTGAGAGTGGCGGCGCTTGGTGGGGGTTGGGCCCGGACGCCTGGGCCCCGCTGTGTGGGGGAGGGGTGCGAGGAAGGGGGGAGAATCCGTGAAAAGAGCCCGAAAAAACCTCGGGGGCCGCCATGGAGATCGTGTACGTGTACACGAAGAAGCGCAGCGACTTCGGCCGCCCCTGCAACTTCTCGGAGCGGGCGGCCGAGGTGGCCGTGGACATCGCGCCCGACCCCGGCGCCGCGGCCGCCTTCGTGCCCAGGAACCCCGTGGACGCGCACGTGCAGCACGCGAGCGACATGTCGGAGCACGAGGTGCGGGCGGCGGGCGCGGGGCGGCGGGGCGGCGCGCGGGACCCCCCTCATCCCCCCGCGCGCTCCCGCTGCGCCGCGTCCCGCAGGTCAACACGGAGCGCGTGGAGGTGGAGACGCGCGGCGTGAACCACACCGAGGGCGGCTGGCCCAAGGACATCAACCCGCACGAGCTGGAGCAGACCATCCGCTTCCGCAAGAAGGTGGAGAAGGACGAGAACTACATCAACACCATCACGCACCTCGGCACCGTAAGGCCGCCGCCGCCGTCCCCCCGCCCCGGCGGCTGCCGGTGCCGCCTCTGACGGGACCTCCCCGCAGCTCATGGAGCACTGCATCAAGCAGAACAACGCCATCAACATCTACGAGGACTACTTTGGAGAGGAGGAGATGGCCGAGGTGGAAGACGAGCCCCCCTCGGCCAAAACCATCAATGTCATGAGGTAGCCCGGGGGTTCCCAGGGCGCCGCGGAGCTGGCTGAGCCCTCCGGAGACAGGAGCTGGGAAAACGCGGTGGTTTTAGGATAGTGCTGGGTCGCTTCATGGGTGGAGAGACCTGTCACAGCTCCAGTCTTGGGGGACCCCTGTTCTGTATCTGCAGCCCCGGCCGCTGCATCGCTCCGGGAGGAGAAGCAGCTCGGAGCATCTCCCAACAGCAGCTCGGAGCCTCTCCCAACAGCAGCTCACACAGCGTCTTCTCTGTGTGTGTCTGTGTGTGTCTCAAGGATCGTTTTTAAAATGTCAGCCGCTGTTAGGTCATTCCTGAAAGTCAGATCCAGTAACGTAATTGGATTCTTAGAAGCATGTAACTGGAAAGACTTTATTAAATCACGGGCTCTTCTCCCCCCACCGCCCGGCCCCCCAGGGAATCGTTTCCTGCAATCAATACTCAGGGGCTGTGGGTTGTTTTAATTGCGATTCCCACAGCTTCCTTTGGGAGTCGCTGAGCCCAGGGCATGGCAAAGCTGTTAGCAAGCTAATGTCTGTGTTTGATGTTGTGCTGCCAAAAAGGGACCCAAACATTACCAAGAGGACAGCCACGCATCTCTCCTGGCACCCTGATGGATGCAAGAAGCTGGCGGTAGCTTATTCCAGCCTGGAGTTCCAGCAGAACGTGAAGGACATGAGCTTTGACTCGTACATCTGGGATCTCGGTAAGGGGAAGGGAAGCTGCACCGGCCAGTGATGCTGCTGTGGCAAAAGCACTTTGTGCTTTCAAGCATCTCACGGATGTAGCGAAGCCTCAGAGCCCTCAGAGAGGGTGAGGAGAGGTTTTAATTTCATCGCTGGCCCACAGATCAATGTAAGGAAGGGGAGAAAGGGGATCTGAAAGTTGGCCAAGAGATGGAAAGTAACCACAGAGCTCCCACTACAGAACATGATGAGCCAGAGTATCTGCAGCCACGCTGCTCTCAGTGCTCCCTGTGTTATCCAGGTCACTTGCCCCCGGATAACAGAGGAGGAGGCAGCACGGGGGCTGCTCTGGAGGGGGATGTTGTTTCCTTTGAGGATCCCTCTCGCTTGGCTCTTTACTCACCCCTTCTTGGTAGAAAACTCCAACAAGCCGGAGCTGGTTCTCAAGCCGTCGTCCCCTCTCGTGAGCCTGGAATACAACCCCAAGGACTCGCACATCCTGGCCGGCGGCTGCTACAACGGGCAGATCGGTAAGGAAAGCGGCTTAGGAGTGACACCCAGTTAACGAGAACAACATAACGTCAGTGACTCCGCAGCCAGCGATCCCCGGAGCGCGCCGGGAAGCGCTCAGAGTGCCGGGAAGGGCAGGCTGGAACCCGCACGGGTGACGGGAGGAGAGGGCAGCGGGCCCGGAGCTCGCTGCTTCACCCAGCAGCTCCGGAGCGGCCGCCGGCCCCCGCGCACGTTGCCCACGTTTGTGGGCACCCGTGCGCACATATGTGAGGAACAGCGTGGGATTCACCTGTCCTTGGCTGTGCTCCTCCCCATCCCCGTGTCCTCAGCTCTGCAGACGTGCCGGGCTCCCGCGGCCCCGCAGCTCCCTGTGCCAAAAGCTCCGAAGAGCTGCCGGCGCTTCGGCTCCTGACTTGTGTTTACACTGCTGTTACTCATGCTTAGAAAAGGGCCCCTCTTTGCCAGCCTCATTTAGGGTTTTGTTATTTAGCGAGCCACATGAGCCCTTTGATTTAATTGCTCTCCTTTTGATGTTTTCCTTGCCGTTTGCAGCAGCAATCGGAGCTGACGGGGCGTGCACTGCGGGGCTGTGACTGCGCGCGCCGGAGGTGCTGGAGGAGGGTGGATTTCACCTCGTCCTTCACGGCGCTCCCCGGGCGTGTGGCACGGGCCCAGCAGAGCAGACTGCGTCACCTTCAATTGCCTAATTAGAAGTGAGCAGGAGGCAGCGCGTGCGGCTCGGTGCCATCGTCGCCCGGCTGCCAAGGGCCCTCCCGCGCTGCCCTGCGCCCGGGCAAGGGAAGGATGTTCATTTGGGAGCTGCCTCCCTTAGGAAGGGCCCTTAGGACGCACAGGAGGAGCCTGCAGCCAGGTCAGGCCCCGCTCGCTGCTGCCTGGCGCTGACAGGAGCTGGGTGCTTCACCCGTGTCCAGTCCTGCTGGAGCCCCTCAGGCAGCACAGGGCCACGACGCAGGGTTAGTTGCTTCTGGGGACACTTTAGGACACCCCCGTGGAGAGGCACTGCTGTGGGAACACTGCGGTGGTTTGAGATGTCACCACCATCTAGGCTGCAGCCATCAGCAACCAGTTCTCACCAGCATCCTGCTGCTCCAATGCAAACTGTCTCTCCTGATTCCGGCTTCAGCAGCAAGGCAGCATCTCCCGGGAAGTGCCAGGAAGCGAAGGCGCCAGCAAGGGAGCAGGTGCAGCCCTTGAGAGCTTCTTCTCCTTGCCAGCTTACTGGGACACGCGGAAGGGGAGGCTGCCCGTGGAGGTCTCCACCGTGGAGTTCAGCCACAGGGATCCCGTGTACGGAGCGATCTGGCTGCAGTCCAAAACCGGCACCGAGTGCTTCTCGGCCTCCACCGACGGGCAGGTAACGGGCAGGAGCAGGGAAGGTGGCAGGGACTCGTGCATGGCCCGTGGTTGGCAGAAGCAGAGGAGCTTCTCCTGCCGGCCTGACCAGCCCCTGGTCTCTGGTCCTGCTGTGCCCTGGTGGGGACAGAGGGGGATGTGACCCCCAGGCTGCTGGTTTGGACTCGCCCTGCGCGGACCCGGCTTCCCCAGCACGGAGAGCAGCCCCTGCGGGCAGTGTCCCCCCTGCTGCGTGTCCCCTGCAGGTGCTGTGGTGGGACCCCTTGTCCTCTGCAGGTGCTGTGGTGGGACATCCACAAGGTGCTGTCATGTGCCACCCAGGTGCTGTGGTGGGACATCCGCAAGCTCTCCGAGCCCACCGAGACGCTGGTGTTGGACATCTCCCGCAAGGGGCTCCTGGAGAACGCCCTGGGCGCCATCTCGCTGGAGTTCGAGCCCACCATGGTGAGCCCGGCCTTGGGGTCGCCCTGTCCTCGTCTCCGGGACAGCGGTGGCAGTGTCGGAGTGACGCTGTGGCCGTGCGGGGAGGCCCCAGAGCGCCGTGCTGCAGGTTGCAGCGTGGTCTTCAGGCCCCTGTCCCCTGTGCCCCCGGGTCCCCAAGCCATTGACGGCTCCTCTCTGCTCTCCCGCCCGCAGCCCACCAAGTTCATGGTGGGCACAGAGCAGGGCATCATCATCACCTGCAACCGCAAGGCCAAGACACCCCCCGAAAAGATTGCCGGCACCTACAGCGGCCACCACGGGCCTGTCTACGCGCTCTCCAGGAACCCTTTCTACCCCAAATTCTTCCTGACCGTCGGGGACTGGACTGCTCGGATCTGGTCAGAGGAGAGCAAAGAATCCTCCATTATGTGGACCAAGTAGGTGTAACCACTGCCAAAACTGTCCCACTTTTGAGGCCCATGAGCAGCAGGGACTCATCTGCTCTGGTCAAGGAGGAGAGGCTGGTGGGACAGTCACCAAGGCAGAGAGGTGGCAGCGTAGCCAAGGGCACCGGGATGGCGATGGCCAGGCTGCAGCTGAGCCCGTGCCGCTGCAGCGGGGCTGTGCGCGCCTCTGCCCGCAGGTACCACCTCTCCTACCTCACCGACGGCTGCTGGAGCACCGTGAGGCCGGCTGTCTTCTTCACGACCAAGATGGACGGGACGCTGGACATCTGGGACTTCCTCTTCAAGCAGAACGACCCTTCCCTCAGCCTGAAGGTTGGGTCCCGCACACCCCGTTGTTCCCTCGCTCGCGCTGCGGCGCCGGCGCTGCCCTCGGAGCAGCAGCAGGAGCTCGGCCGAGCAGATGGAGCTGGGGTGCAAGGGGACCCCATGCTGCCCGGGCGGGCTGGGTGCCGAAATGGCAAGTGGTGCTTCCCCCTTGGGCTGTGCCTGGGGCTCCGCGTGCACCCACGTTTGCCCTGTAGGAGCCCAAAGGTTTTGGCAGCCCTCGTTAGCAGCTGTTTGCTGATGTGCATCTGTGGGCCATGCAGGGCACAAGCAGCCACGTTCCCCCCCACAGATCTGCGACGAGCCCCTCTTCAGCCTGCGCCTGCAGGACAACGGCTGCGTCGTGGGCTGCGGCTCCAAGCTGGGCACCGTCACGCTGCTCGAGATCTCCTCGGGGCTCTGCACCCTGCAGAAGAACGAGAAGACCCTGGCCACGGCCGTAGGTGCCCGCGGCACCGCGGGGCTGTCCCCGTGCAGCGCACGTCCCCGCTCAGCCTCGCCTCCCTCGGCGGCCCCTCTCCGCCGCAGATGTTCGAGCGGGAGACCAAGCGGGAGAAGATCCTGGAGGCCCGGCACCGCGAGATGCGCCTCAAGGAGCGCGCGCGGGCCGAGGGCCGCGACGAGGAGCCCCGGGAGGAGGCCGAGGAGGAGAGCTCCGCCGAGCTGCTCCAGCGCGTCCGCAGCGACTTCCTCGAGGCCATCGAAGCGGAGCTGCGACGAAGGGCGCAGGCCGAGGCCAAGCGCTTGCGTGCCAAGGTACCGGGCACGGCGGGGCTGGCCACCCTGCGATGGCTCCCACAGCTCCGATTGCTGGGTGCCCCGGGAGCGTCACCCAGGTCTCGCTGTCCCCAGGCGGGTGGGTGGCTCCGTCCTGGGTGCATGGGCCCCCGAATGAACCAGCCCCGCTGGAGGGGACGGGGGGCTTGCTGGAGTCACTGGTGGGTCAGCGCGCGGTGGCTGCTGCCGCAGTGAAGCAGCAGAGCGGGGGGACGCCGAGCAGCGAGGGGCTGCCGCGGCGCGGGGGGCCTGGCTCCTTCTCTAACAACATAAAGGACAGTGAGGAACACAGCCGGTGAAGCCCTTATGTTAGTTTCTTTATTTCCTTCAGACGCAACCTCTGCTTTGCAGGATAAAGGTGATACAGGTGAATCGAGAGAGGAGGAGGAGGAGGAGGAGGAAGAGAGCAAGCTGCCAGAGTTTGAAGGCGAAGAGGAGGAGGAGGAGGAGGAGGAGGAGGAAGAGGAGGGGGATGCTACCAAGGTCAGCTAATTCCAGCTTTGTGCCTCTTTCCCCCTCCTTGGTCCCTGTGGGGGGACACCCGGGTGAGGGCACCCAGCATGAGGTGGCAGCCCCTGTGCGCCCCGACCTCTTGCCCGCTCCCTCCACAGGAGCCCTAGCTGGGCAGCGGCACCCCTGGACGGCGGAGGGACCTCTGAGTCAGTCCCAGATGCTCCCTGACCCTTTGGCCTCCCGCTTTTCCCCTTTGGATGAATAAACAGGAGGTTTCCGAGTGGCGCTTCCTCTCTCGCGCCCGCTGGGAAGCGCGGCCCTTCTCCCCGCCGTCTCCCGAGGGCTGCAGGCGGCTGCCGGCCGCGGCGCGGCGGGGATGGCGCCTCCTGCACCCGGAGGAGCCGCCCGCTGCCCGGCTGCGCCAGCGCCCAGCACCCCCGACACAGCGGGCACTGCGCCTCGGGCCTGAGGCCACGGGGATGGACGCGGGCCTGCCGGGATGTGACCAGACAGTGCTGGAAGGGATCACGCTGGGATGCACCTGCGTCCCCAACGCTGCCATGGCACAGGGTGTCTGGGGTGGGGGATGCATCAACCGCAGCCCCCGCAGTCCCCTACACCCAGAGCAGCCCCAGGGGTGCCCGGGCTCTGGTTCTGCCCTCATTACGACCAGGAGCGAGGGGCCATCCTGGCCCCCAGAGCGCACGGCCCTGGGCCCACGTCCCGCTCATCCCGAGCACTGGGGCCGGCACAGCGGGACCCCACATCCCATGTCACTGGGCCACAGGGGTGGTGTCACCGTCCCCGTCCCCGTGCCCAGGCTGCCAGCTCCCTGAGGGGGTGCAGAGCCCGCGGCGGGGACCGTGCGGATGCAGCACAGGGACAGGGAGTCCCCATCCCGCAGGATGGTGGATGGGGAGGTGGCAGCTGGGGGGTCCAAAAGGGGCATCCCCGGCACGGGGACCTCCGTCTACGTAAGGGAGGGAGGAGAAAAGGCCGGGAGGAGCCCAGGGACGTGGGCAGGGGTGTCCCCCGCGGGCACGGCACTACTTCTTGGCCTTGATGAGCGCGTGGTAGACGGGCTTGACGATGATGTGGAGGTGCAGGGCGTTGTCGATGAGGTACTCGGAGGTGCGGCGCTGCAGGTCGGCGTGCGCCAGGAAGTCGGGCACCTCGTCGGAGCTCTGGTGGAAGCTGTAGGCGTGCTTGAGCAGGAGGCGGCCCTGCTGCCGCACGCCCACCAGCACCGTCTTCTGGAAGCTGACGCCGGCGAAGTCGGAGCTGCTGGTGGCCGGCGTGATGACGAGCCGGGGGCGGCCGTCCTCGATGCGCGCCGGCTGCAGGGCGCCCGACACCGAGTCCGAGTAGACGGGGCGCAGGCTGACGGGCAGCCAGCGCGGCGAGAAGAGCACGTTCCAGGTGACCCTCTTGCCGGCGTCGTGGCTGCTGGGGCCCAGCTGCGTCTGGAAGCTGGTGCTGCGGTCGTCGCGCGCCGGGTTGTTGATGACCCACTGGGCGCCCCAGGCGGGCGCGAGGTAGTTGCGCGGCAGGAACATGCTGCAGTTGACGTCGAAGTACTTGGCGAAGTGGAGCGGCGAGGCGGCGTGGAACTGGAAGGCCTGGAAGAGCAGGTCGTGCACGGCGGCGCGGTGCCGCGCCAGCGCCGCCGACTGCGCCTGCAGCCGGAAGAGCTGCGCGGGCGCGATCATGGGGTAGCGGATGGCGCGCAGCACGCGCTCCGCCACGGCCGCCTCGGGCTGCTGCCGGCCCAGCCAGCCCTCCACGGCCGTGTAGAGCTCCAGCTCGCTGTGCAGCACCAGGTCGGAGCGCTCCAGCAGCAGCAGCAGCAGCTCGGCGCTCACCGAGGCCCACTCGGCGCTGGCCAGCACGGCCGACAGGTTCCAGGCGAGGAACTGCAGGCAGCTCTCCTGCAGCACCCGGTCGCCCACGCGCGCCGCGTACTGGTACCAGCCCACCACGTGGCCCTGGCTCGACTCGCTGGCCAGGTGGCTCCGCATGTAGTCGGCCACGCCGCGCTGCAGCGCCCGCACGCCGTACTTGGTGGCCAGCTGGTGCATGGGGATGGCTTGGTGCAGTAGGATGGAGACGCCGCCGCAGTACAGGTACCTGGGGCAGAGCGCGGCCGCGGTGAGCGCCGCGGCGGCACCGTGTCCCCCCGCATCGCACCGCGCGCTCCCACGCACCTGATGAACTTGTCGAAGAGCGCGGCGCTCTCGGGCGGCTCGTGCAGGGTGAGCACGCTCTGGTTGCGCAGCAGCCCCTCGAAGACGTCGCTCTGCAGGCCCAGCAGCAGCTGGTGCACGTGGAAGACCTTGGCGTCGGCGGCGGGCGCCGCGCGCACCTGCAGCACCGCGTCGCTGCCGTTGCCGCTCTGCAGCAGCTCCTGCAGCCGCTGCAGCAGCGTCAGCGAGTGGTTGATGGTGGCGGCCGTGGCGTCGCCGCTGAGCTCGGCTCGCTGGGCTGCGGGCAGACGGCACCGTCCCAGCGTGGGCCCCGCCACGCACCCGGGCTCACCCAGCACCCGCACAGCTCGCCCGCCCCTTGGACAGGCACCCAGGGTGAATGTCCCCACGCCGCGCCCCCAGCACCCTGTGGATGGGCATGGGTGCTCCCAGTGCAGCTTTCCTCCCCATCCTCCTCCTCCCGTTGCCCGAAGCGCAGCGCCTCTTCCCCGGGATGAGTTTGGCTCCATCCATCTCAAATCTGCGTCTTGCCGGATGGCGATGCTGCGGATTACCCTTCCTGACGCCGGCTTAAGGCCGGCTAAGAAGGGATTGGGAATGGGATCGGGAGCGCGGCGGTGCCTGATATGGCTCCTTTGCGCGGCTCCCAGGACCGTGGCGTCCCAGGCGTTGAGCACTGCTGCGCAGCACGGTCAGCTCCGACTTGCACCATGGCCATGGGGCACAGCACAGCCATGGGGCATGGCCATGGGGCACAGCCATGGATCACGGCATGGCCAGGGATCATGGCACGGCCACTCCAGCCAGGACGCCCGGGTGCCCCGAGCCATCTCATCCCAGCCCTTCCAGCCACAGCTCTGCGGGATGGCCGGACACGCAGGTGGGAAGGAGCCGGCACCGCGGCGAGGGCGATCGCGCCATGGCCACCCCCGGCTCCAGCGTCCCCACTCCGCGGGCGCCCTTACCAGCTTGCACAGTGAGGAGGAGGAGGAGGAAGGCGGCGGCGGCGCAGCCCCAGCGCCGGCTCGGCGCGGCCCGGGCCCCCGTGAGCCTCGCCATGGCCTCGCAAGCGCATCTGCCGGGGGCTCTGCGCCACGGGGGCGCGCGGCGCCCGCGCCCTCTTATGTAGGCCACGACCCTCCCAGCCCGCGCGCCCGCACATTGATTGGTGGAAACTGGGACCGGCCGTTTCCAAGGGAACCGCTTCCCGGCCGGAATCGATCCCGTCCCGGCCCCCGGCCCCCCGAGCCGCTGCGAGGGGCGCCCCACGAGCCCTGGGCACCGCACGGGGCCGCCCCCTGCGCGCCCCCCGTGGTGCCCGCGTTCCCGGCTGTGCATCCCGCCCGGGCGCCCGCGGCCCCCAGCCCCTTTGCATGCAGGGCGCAGCGCGGCCCCGCTCCCCCCGCGCCGCCCGCCGCGGGGCTATTCATGCGGGTGCCCTCCCATCTCCATGGCATCCGGGCTGCCGGCAGGAACCGCCTGCCCTTTTCCCAGCCTTTGCAGCCAAGCGCGGCGTGCGCGCCCCGTGCCAGCCTCCGCTGGCCCCGCGCCGCCTCTCGCCATGGACGGGGCGTCCGGCACGGCTGCGCGGCGGCCACCAGGCAAGGTCACCGCGGAGCGCCGGCGACCTTGGCCTCGAGTCAGCGGCGTTGCAGCCCGCTGGGGCCGGCACCGCGCGGGGGAGACGAGCCGGGGCCCGGCTGGCTTCCCGTATCGGTATCGAGTAGCTGTCGGCGCTGATGGGATTAGGGCCGGCAGCCGCGCGGCGGCAGCTCGGGCGCTGAGCGGCTGAGTGAAGTGCAGAGCCCTCATGTGCCCCACTGCAGCGGAGCTGCACCCAGGGGTGCAGTGGGGCAGGGGGTGCCAGGCTGGGGACATTGGGTGCAGCGCAGGGACAGCAGTGGCCGGGCCACTCGCTGGGAAGGGGCTCTGCAGAAGGGACCCTTTGCACCCCTGCAGCATCGCGCCTCTTTTCGCACCTACAAGGGCACGTGGGGACAGTCTGGCTCCCTGCAGAGTCACACATGGCCCCGCTCCCCAGCACCTGCCCAGGCCCAGCTGCTGGGATGCGTTCTCCAGATGTTTGTGTGTGGCAGATGTCGACACAGCTCCCGCGCAGGGATTACCCACCCGGCCCCGCTGGGGCTGCATTTCAGGGCTTGGGGACACGCACAGCGTGGGCCCGGACCACATCCCTGCACCATGGACCGCAGGGAGAGCAGTGGGGCTGCAGCGCGGGGATGCGCTCAGCCGGGACGTGCATGCACATGCACACGGGACATGCATGCACACATGCACACACATGCACCGCACACGTGCCCGTGCACAGACACAGCAATCTGAGCCACCTGTGAGGCCTGGGTGCTGGCGGGGCTGGGGCGGGGGCTGAGGCAGCACCAGGCGTGAGCAGCCCCAGCTGTAGCCCCTCTGCCCAGGTGGGTATAAAGCACGGGAGAACAGGGGCTCTGGTGCCTTGGGAGGATGGGGGTGCTTGGAGGTGTGAGGGTGCCCCTCAGTCTGCAGCAATTGCACCGTGGATGGCCTGGTGGCACATGAGGGACAAACACAGGTGCTACTGTGTGCCACCCCCATGTTCAGCCTCCTGCCACCTGCAAGTCAGAGTTCACCAGGTGCCCAGCATGGGGACAAAGTGGTGCCACCTGCCTGGAGGTGGTGACATTCTGAAGCCCCATAGCCCTGACTGCAGCTCTGCGCACCCTGCTCTCCCTCCTCCCTGTGTCCCAGAGATGCTGCAGGGAACCAGCAGGGACATGGACTGAGGTGACTCTCCCGGCGTGGGGATGTGGTGCTCGGAGAGGTGACCCCGAAGGTGAGACCCTGTCCCCTGGGGGGCACAAGGAGGGGGATGCAGGTGAGGGGCCGGGCATGGATGCTGCTGGCAGGGTGAGGGATCCAGGCTGGGGAAGGGTTAACATGTTCCTGCTGCAGCCCTATCAATGCAGCGCTTCCCTCTGGACACTCAGGGACTGCGCCTGCCCTTGCTAATTAGCCAGCTCTAGTCTGTGCCTAATTGGCATCCCCTGGTGCCTGTGCCACCCACCATGAGTGGCTGCAGCTGTGCTGAGTCTGTGTCCCCCATGCTGTGGTGAGGGGCTTGTTCCCCCATGGGGGTCAAGGGGCTCCCCTGGCACCAGGACCTGCATCCATGCAGCAACCTGGAGAACAAAATCCCCTGCAGGCCCTTGGAGAGGGGGACACGACCCGCAGATGCAGCCCTAGCCCAGCCCTAGCCCAGATGCACGGCGTGCTGGTCCCAGCTCGGCCCCGGCTCCGGGGGTCGTGGCCGCTCCCCCGCCCCCCGGGCGAGAGGCTCTTTTTGGGGAGGGTGGGGGAGCGGCCTCCAGCCAATCAGAACGCAGCACTCCTGTTCGGCGCCCCCATTCTTGGAGGCCGCCTCTCCGATTGGCTCAGTCGCGGCCTCCCGCAGCCAATGGGCGCGCGGCGTGCGGGGGGCGCGCCGCCGGATTTATGAATGGAGCGCGTGGGCCCGATCCTGCCGGGAGACCCGCTCCCGTTGCCCCCGCCCCGCTCCCGTTGCCCCCGCCCCGCTCCCGTTGCCCTCCTGCACCCCCGCGGTGGGGGTGCAGCGCAGGACCGCTCTGTCCTCCCACAGGACACAAGAAGACATTGATCAGCTCAGCACGTTCCCACAGGGTGACATTTATAATCTGGTGCCCCAGTCCCCCCTGTGCCTTGGGGCACCACAGTGGCTCTGAGGACCAAAAAGTCGTTGTACCAGCACCTGTTGGCTCCGACCACCTCCAGCATCCTCTCCAAGGTCTTCATCCTCTTGCTGGGCTTCATCCTGCAGACAGCCATCCTGGCCTGGGTGATGTCCTGTGCATCATGTCCTGTATCCACACTGTCAATGTACTGGAGTTCATGGCCCGCCGAGCCTCCATCTGGATCACCATGGTGCTCACCATGGCCTTGTGCCACCCACTGCAGTATTGTGTTATGTCCTAATCGCAGTGCACCTGCAGGATCATCAGGGCTGCAGGCATCCCCTTCTGGTGCCTGGATGTGTGGGGTGATGCCAACCTCCCCAGTGCGCTGGACAAGGTGCTCAAGTGGCTCCATTGCGTTGCTGTCTACTAATGGCCCTGCTGCATCTTCCCGGCCACCAATTCCGTCATCATCCTCAAGCTGCAGCAGCAGAGATGCTCTGGGGGTTGCTGTGCCTACGTGGGCAAGACCACAGCCCTCCTCGTGGCTGCCACCACCGTCTTCATGTCCCACCTCATTTTTGGGGCGTCCTGCCTGGTATTGGGCTCACTGGCTCCCTGCACCAGCCCATGCTCAGTCCCTCCGGACACGCTGCCTTTGTCTCCTGCTCCAGAAATCTGCCATGGGACAGGGGTTACAGGGAGCCTTGCCCAACACGTGCCAAGTGCACCTCTCCTTCCTCCTTAACTTCCACTGTGAGATGGAGACACGGCCCGGGTTTGTGGCTGCAGCGACAGGCCAGGGCAGGAGGACCCTGGAAAGGCAGGGAGCACCCGCAGCGCTGGTGTCCCCACTGCCCCCGCGCAGGGCACCAGGGTTGTCCCTCCCTGGGAGCCACGTCTCCCATGTGGACACAGGGACAGCACCCATCGAGCTCCCATGGCTTCTGTGAGGGACTTTGCTGCGCCCAGCGGGATGAGCAGCCAGGATGTGCCCGTCCGGGTGTCCCCAGCTGCCGGGTGCCCATCTGCCACCAGAGGGCAGGGCCAGGCCGCCCTGCGGAGCTGGCAGCGCCCCGTGCCACGGGGCTGGAGCGGAGCCCGCGGCTCCTGCGTAATCCCCCAAGCCCCGGCCCTTCCCTCCGTTCCCACCGAGCGGGTTTGGGGGGGGAGGCTGGGCGGCTTTCCTACGGGATCCCTGCCCCCCGCGGGATCCGGCTCCCTGGCCGCCGGCTCGGAGCGCTCAGCCCTGCGTGCAGCCGGAGGCCCCCGGGAGCTGCTCGCTCCATTAATCCCGGCCCTCACGGAGCCGGGGGGAGAAGTTAGACATTAACCCGGAGCGCCCGCTGCAGCCCCCGGGAGCTTCCCCCAGCCCAGGCCGTGCGGAGGGGCCTCGGCACAGGGGGGACCCCCGGCCCCGCTCCCCTCCGAGGGGCGGTGGGAACGCGCTGCGGGCGGCTCTGTTCTGGATGCAGCCGGCGCGGACGGAAAACAGCTCCGCGGCCCCGGTGTAAACAGCAGCGGCCGGGGGGGCGGCGGGGCCCAGGTAGGGCTGGCGCCGGGGCCGGGGTGAGCGCCGCGCCGTGCCAGCCGCCCGGCAGCACTGGAGCAAAGGTAAGCCTGGAAAAAATGCGCCCGCCGTGCCCGTGTTTTCGGAGCAGGCCTGATCCCGTCCCGCCAGCGCGGCGGGGGGGCCCGCGGCTCCTGCTTCCCCCCACGCTGCCCACCATGGGGTGTTGGGCATGTGCCGGTGCTGCGTCCCTGGGGCTACCTTTCCGTAGGAGCTACCAAAACCTTCCCGAGGCTTTGGTGGTGCCAGGGGAGCAGCCAGGAGGTGGGAGCATCTCCTGGGCAAGGAGGGAGGAAGCTGAGGCACCCGCTGCCCCCCCAGCCTCATCACCGTGTCCGGACACCCCCCTCCTCCTCTGGCAGGAGCAGGGGGCAGCGACCGGCCAAGGCAGCTGCCAGGAAAGCGGCCCCGGCCCCCGGGTGCGGAAGGAAGCAGCCTCCGGGAGGCCACGCGCCTCGGCCTCGCCACGGGCCCGGGTGGGCAGCGGGGGCGGCAGGAAGCTGCGCGGGGCCCTCGGCGGCGCCGCCGGGATGAGGTTTTCCTGCAGTGCGGAGTGTGGGGGTCTGGCTCTGCCGGGAGCCTCAGCCGCAGCATGGGGGGAAAGGGAGGCAGGATGGGACCGGGGGACTCGAGGGGGACACGGAGCCCTGGCTGGGGCACCGAGCGCCCTAGAGCTGCACGAGCACCGTGAGCAGGGGCAGCCTCTGCCGAGGACACGCCGCGGGCCGGCGCTCCTGGAAAACAAGGGCAGGTGACAAGGGCAGCTGCGTGCCGACAGCTCTGCCCCCCGGCCCTGTTCCCAGCGGGGTCCCCATCCCGTCCAGGCTGTGGCACTGCCTGGTCACTGGGCCACCTCCTTCACCCTCTCCAAACAGCAGCTCCCACCTGAAGCCTCGGGAGGGGTGGCGGGGGTGCCCCGGCCCTGGGGAGCGCAGGGTGCCCTAGCCCGGTCCTGGTGGCCCTGGGGGGGCCCTAGGGGGGCCGTGCGCCCCGCTGCCCACCCGGCTGCCCCTGCGGCGCGCGGCTCTGCCAAGGGCTTATCCGTCAGCTGACATTCCTGCGGGAGGCCCCGCGGCCGGGGGCGTCCCGTGGGGAGCGCGCGTGTCCCGCCAGGGCGGGCGGCGCGGCCGGGCCCCCCGCACCCCCGCTGCGGAGCGGGGCTCTGCGCTCGCCTGAGCCCCCGCAAACTCGCGGCACGTCCCGGCGGGGCCGGGCCGGGCCGGGCGGAGGCGCCGCGGGGAGGGGCCGGGCGGGCGCGCCGCGCTCCGGGGCTCGCCCGCCCGCCGGCGCCGAGCGGAGCGCAGGGCAGCCCGGGACGGCGGCCGGCCCGCGCCGGGGCTGCCGAACCGGCACCGGACCGGACCGGACGGGACGCGGCCGCCGAGTTGAGGAAGCGCTGGGCGAGTTTGGCGGCCGGTACCGAGCGGGGGGAGCCGCGGAGCGCGGGCCGGTGCCGCGGGGACGTGCGGGGGGAGCGGGTCGGTACCTGCGGGAAACGCCGCGGCAGCTGGGCCGCTGCTGCCGGAAGGTGCGCGGAGAACCGGGCCGGGCCCGCCGGGACTTGCCGTGGGAACCGGGCCGGTACCTGCCGGAGGTGCCGGGGCGAGCGGGCCGGCCCCGGCGGGAGGTTTGGGAGGAACCAGGCCAGTCCCTGCCGGCGGTGCTGGGGGAGCCGGGCCGGTACCTGCAGGGCGGAACCGGGGCAGCCACAGACCGGCCAGGCTGGGTGCGGTGGGACCGGTACAGCCTGGGGGCTGGGGTCCCTGAACCAGGGCCACAGGGGCTCAGTCCTGTCCTGGTCAGGGGTCCCTGTTTCCATCGGGATGGGCAGACCCGGCACAGGGCTGTGCCCAGTCAGCTGGTTCTCCTCCCTGCGGTTCCCGTCCCGGCGGGACACGGACACCCGGTTCTGCCACGGCTCTGGGAGGGGAGCGGGGCTGGGGGCTGCCCACACTCCTGGTCCCGCTCTCGGCAAGTGGGCTGGAGGCAGCAGGGAGGGTCGTGGGGGCCCCGGCTCCTGGGCTCCGCTCCCAGCTGGCCCCACGGGCGACCTTGTCGGAGAGGTTTCCTGCCCCGTTTCCTCCCTCCCACGGGCGGCAGTGGCAGGGGCTGCAGCTTTGGACCCGGCCCCGTCCTGGCACCCTGGCCCGTGAGCCCTGTTTCCAGCCCTGTTCCCAGCATGTAGAGCTGGGGCCGTGCGGGCAGCGCATGCGAGCGCCTGGCACGAGCTGCGTGCGGGGCCGGACACGTGCCTGGAGCGACGGGGCGGAAACGGGATTGGAGAAGCAGAAAGGGGAACCCACTGGAGGATGTGGAGAGGGAGGCGAGGCCTTGGAGTGGGAGCAGAACCCGGTGCCGCTGCCACCCAGCTTTGGCACTGCGGGCACTGCCCAATCCCCCTTCCCGGAGCTCATCCCACTCCGGAGCCGGAGAGGAGGATGGACACAGCCCTGGATCTGCTCTGGGGAGCTCTGGGTCACCGGGGAGCACCGGAGCCCAGGGAGGCTGAGCCTCCGCTGGGGCCGCCCCCGGCCTGCGGGCAAGGAGGCGTCGGGAGGCGCCCGCGTCCGCCCCGGGGCGGCCGGTGACGCAGCGCCCGCTCCCCGACACCCCCTCTCCCCCGCAGGGCCTCGGGGGCTCCCGCTCGGCGCCCGGCCCGGGCCGCAGGATGGGGACGGCGGCCGCGGGGCTCGTGCTGGCCCTGGTGGCCGCGTGCCGCGCGCAGACCGGGCCGCCGCCGGGCTGCGGCCACGACCTCTCCTCGCTCTACTACAACCTGTGCGACCTGTCGGCGGCCTGGGGCATCGTGCTGGAGGCCGTGGCCAGCCTCGGCATCGTCACCACCTTCGTGCTCACCATCGTGCTCGTGGCCAGCCTGCCCTTTGTGCAGGAGCCGCCCAAGAGGAGCCTGGTGGCCACGCAGGTGCTCTTCCTGCTGGGCACCTTCGGCCTCTTCTGCCTGACCTTCGACTTCATCGTGGGGCCCGACTTCTCCACGTGCACCTCGCGCCGCTTCCTCTTCGGCGTGCTCTTCGCCGTGTGCTTCTCGTGCCTGCTGGCGCACGCGCTGGCGCTCAACTTCCTGGCGCGGCGGAACCGGGCGCCGCGCGGCTGGGCCACGCTGGCCGTGGCGCTGCTGCTGGCGCTCGTGGAGGTCATCGTCAACGCCGAGTGGCTCCTCATCACGGTGGTGCGGCGCGAGGGCGGCTCGCCGGACCCGTGCCGCGTGGCCGACGCCGACTTCGTCATGGCGCTCATCTACGTCATGGTGCTGCTGGCGGCCGCCTTCGGCGCCGCGTGGCCGCCACTGCTGTGCGGCCGCTACCCGCGCTGGCGCAAGCACGGCGCCTTCATCCTGGCCACCACCGGCCTCTCCGCGGCCATCTGGGTGGCGTGGACCGCCATGTACCTCTACGGGAACCGGCGCGCGGGTGCCAAGCCGCGCTGGGACGACCCCACGCTGGCCATCGCGCTCGTGTCCAACGCGTGCGCCTTCGTGCTGCTCTACGTCATCCCCGAGGTGACGCACGTGACGCGGCGGGGCCCCGCGCAGGCGCACGACGACGAGGGCTACCCGACGCGCGGCGTGGGCTACGAGACCATCCTCAAGGAGCACAAGGCGCAGAGCATGTTCGTGGAGAACAAGGCCTTCTCGCTGGACGAGCCCTCCCTCGGTAGGCGCCGCGGCCGGTGCCGAGCGAGCGGCAGCCCGGGCGGCTGCAGGGCCGCGTCCCGCAAACAGGCCCGGCCGGGTCTACCGGTCTGGGCCGAGCCGGGAGCCGGTGCCGCCGCCGCCGGCCCCCCAGCTCCGCCCGCGCCCTCTCTCCGCAGCCAAGAGGCCGGTGTCTCCCTACAGCGGCTACAACGGGCAGCTCCTCGCCAGCGTCTACCAGCCCACCGAGATGGCCCTCATGCACAAGGGGCCCGTAAGTGCACGCAGGGCTCGCCATGCTGCTCGGCACCCGGGGATCCCGCTGCCCATCGAGGGGCTCCTGGTGGGGAGGATTTGTCCCCTTGTCTCATCCGCCAGCCCGCGTGGGAGCAGGAGCGCGTGGGGCCGTGGGGTGGGCGAGAAGGGAGGTGCTCCAGGGGTCCCCGTGCGCAGGGGATGCCCGGGGGGGCAGTACAGACAGGGGCATGTTCAGGGTCCCCATGAGCAGGGGCTGCTCGGGGTAGGGCCCGCGGGTGCAGGGGTGCTTGTGGTCCTGGCCCAGGCAGTGCAGGCAGGGGATGCTCGGGGTGCTCCCCAAGGGCAGGGGATGGTCAGGGTGCTCCCCATGGAGAGAGGGACCTCGGGGTCCCCGCGTGGGCTCCCATGGGCAGGGTTGTGCTCCTGATGGGCACCATGGGCAGGGGATGCTGTGGGTGCTCCCCATGGACACCTCGGGGTATCAGTGGAGAGAGACAGTGTTGGGGTCCCCCCGTGGGCAGGGGTGCTCCGCGGGCACCGCACCGCTCAGCGCCTCCTCCGCTCCCCGCAGGCCGAAGGCCCCTACGACGGGATCCTGCCCCGTGCCAGCGCGGCCGTGGGCAGCGCCAGCTCCACGCTGCGCGCCGAGGACGCCTTCGCCGCGCACGCCCGGCCCGCCGGCGCCCGCGCCTCCCAGGTCTGTTAATGAGCAACGGAGCGAGCGGGGCCGCTCGGTGCAAAGTCCCGGTGCCTCTGCCGGGGCTGCCCGGGCACCGGCCGGTGCCCAGCGCCCTCCCTGTGCCGCAGGTGCTGTCCCCATACGGCAGGAACCGCTGGTAAAGGTCCCGTTCCCCCGCGCGGCGCCCGGAGCCGCCGGCCACCCCGTCCTGCGCGGCCACAGCCCCCGCTCCGGAGCCGGGTCCCCTCCGCGCGGCGGGGGGCGCATAGGGGACCCCAGAGCCCCCTTCGTCGTGCCCGGCCCCAGCCCGGACCCCTGTGCCAGGACAGGGGTGGGCGCTCAGCACGCGGCAGCACGGCCTCCTCGGGGCCGGTGCCACGGGCGTCCCGGTGCCGCGGGGCCCCCTCCCTCCGCTCTTGTTTGCCCCCCTTGTTTTTTCAGGGCAGCCCCAATAAAGCTGTTTTTCCTACGTGGTGCTGCAGCAAGTGGCTCATGCGGGGAGGACGACGCGAGGTCCCCATTGTAGGTGCACAAGGTCCCCATTCTGGACACATTGTGGGTCCCCCTTTTGGGCACACTGCGAGGTCCCCATTCTGGGCACACTGCGGATCCCTGTTCTGGGCGCTCTGTGGATCCCTGTTCTGGGCACACCACCATGTCCCTGCTCTGGGCACACCGCGGGTCCCCGGTGCTGCTCCTGCCCAGGCGGGCGCTGGGGCCGAGGCCGGGCGGGCTCGGTGCCGCACACGGGCAGCAGGGCCCGCGGCGCCGGGGACGCGCCAAGGTCGGTGGTGCCTCCGTGGCCTCTCCGTGCGCAGCGGCTCCGCTGCCAGGCAGGAAGCTGCGGCCGGCAAACGGCAGCGCCAGGAATTGGCAAACGGCAGCGCCATGAATTATTCAGGGCCCGGGGGGAGCCGGGGGGGGGGCAGGTGACCTGCTCTCCTTGAGCCAGCACCGGCTTTGCGGCACACGCGGCGCCCACGGGTGCCCGTGCGAGGGCCCAGCACGGCGGGTACTCGTGCCAGGGAGCCTGTTCCTGGGGACGCTGCCAGCTCGCGGCACAGACACCTGGCACTGGGGTCCCGGGGGGCTCCACGCAGGCACCTGGCACCGGGATCCAGCGGGGCTCCGTGTCGCCAGCGCTGCCCGCGGCACCCAGTTTACCCGGTGCCGCTGCGACGGTCCCTGAGCACCACGGACCCACGAGCGCCGCAGGGCACAGGGGTCCCTCCGGCATTCCCGGGGTGCAAACCCCCCTCTGTCCGTTGGGCTCCGGCGTGGTAACGGAGCACGCGCTGCCGGTGGTGCCGGGGCAGGGCCGGCCCCTCCGGAAGCCGGAGCCCCGGGAGCGGCGGCCGCGGCGGCCCCGCTCCAACAGCGCGGCCTTTGTGCGGGCGCCGCCGAACAGGCGGCCTTTGTGCGCGCAGGTGAGCCCGGAGCGCCCGCGCTGCGCGACCAAGGCGCCGGAGGCAGCGCCGGCCGGGGGGTCCCTGTGCCCCCCGACACGACACAGCACCCGGTGCAATGCACAGCACCGCGCAGGGACACAGTGCGGAGCAGGACGAGGGACAGCCCCTCGCCGGGCAAAGGGACGAGGCAGCACCCTGCTCCTGCCCAGCCTCCAGGCCCCGCGAGCACCGGTGCCAGCGGGCCGGGACTGCCCTCTGCCGGCACCGCCGCTTCAGAGCGCCGCGCTCGGACACGGAGCAGCCGCACGGACACAGCAGATGTGCACGGACACGGCGGAGCAGCCGCACGGACACGGCGGATCTGCACGGACATGGTGCAGCCGCACGGACACGGCGGATCTGCACGGACACGGTGGATCACATGGACACAGCAAAGCCACACGGACACGCTGGGTCTGTGTGGACACGGCACAGCCGCACGCACACGGCGCAGCCGCGCACACAGGCACGCTCACGGCCAGCAGCCCTTAGCAACTCTTTTACTCCCAGCAGTTTCATGGCGCCGCGGAGGTCCCCGCGCTGGCAGAGAGGCCCCAGGGGCCCTGAGCGGAGTGTCCAGAAGGGCCTGGGGAGCCCCAGGATCAGCGATGGCAGCAGCAGAGCAGGGCCAGGACAACCTGTCCCCTTGAGTTCTGGTGTCCCGCAGAGCCACCTCGCAGGCACAGGGGTGTCCCCAAGGGAGCCTGGCTCCAGGACAAGCTGGAGAGCTCTCCACGCGGCTCCAGCTCAGCTGCCCCCGCGGGCAGAGGCGCCAGGACCCGTCCGGGCGCTGCGGGGAGCCCTGGCCCGGGCGCTGCCCTGCGCTGCCTCCCGCTGCTGCTGCCTGCGCCTCTGCAGGTCCCTGTAAGCCTGCACCACGCGCGCTCTCTCCTCCTGCACGATGCGCTGGCGAGCGAGGGACACGGGCGCCGCTGGGGACGCCGCTGGGGACGCCGCGCCACAGCCCAGGCGGGACGTCAGCAGGAGCCGCCGCCGGCCGGCCTGCGGACACGGGTGGGAACGGGTCAGGGGAGAGGCCAGGACAGCGCTGGGGAGCTGGACAAGCCCGAGAGCTGCAAGGAGCTGTCCCCAGGACGGGGAGGTCACCTCCAACACGTGCCCGGCTTCCAGGCAAGGGAGCGGGAAGAGCTGGGCAGAGCCCAGAGCGGCAGCTCCCGCACGGACACGGCCGGAGCGACGGCAGGGGCTGGGGGCCGCTCACCTGCGCCGCGGGGACCCCGCTCCTGGGCCGCGACGTGAGGCTGGGCGGCTGCGTGACCACGTCGCCGAACGGCACCTTGTCTGGCAGAGCAGACAACAGAACCCGGCGTGAGGCAGCAGCTCCCGCAGAGCGGCGCCGGCTCCGCCATCCTCAGCACCACCTCTGGAGCCACGGGCTGCTCCCTCGCCAGACCCACCTTGGAACAAGCTCTTCTCCAGCAACGCTTCCTTCTTCTCCTCCTTCTTCTTCCGTACTTTATCCAGCTTCTTTTTCTGAAACCTGAGAGCTGTGTTACACCGGAGCACGCAGCTGGGCAACAAAGAGACTCTCTACCCCACGGAACAACCCGGGGGCCCTGGAGCCACCCCCTCCAGACCCACGGCAGCCGGAGGGCAGCGGAGGGACCCACCGCCCCCAGGCCGCATCCCGCAGCCCCCGTCTCACTCTCTCTTCCTGCTGGATTTCTCCCGGGCCGCCTCCTGCTTCTCAGGCTGCGGCTGCGGCTGGTGCTTGGTGAGGAAGCGGACGCGCTGCACCTCCTGCTCCACGCGGCTCATGTAGGAGCGCTCCGACTCGCCGTCGCCCCTGCGGATCCTGCGCACCGCGATGTCCCCCGCGGCACCGTGATGTCCCTCCGGGGAGCGCTCCTGGGGCGGCTGCTGCTTCCCTGCGGGACACGGGCGGGATTGCAGCAGCAAAGGCCTTTCCGGCTGCCGGGAATCGTGCTGGGGAAGCGGGATGTGCCGGGACCCAGGCAGCTCCAGGGATCCTGGCGCCTCCAGGGATCCGGGCAGCTCCATGGATCCGTGCGGCTCCAGGGATCCCGGCCCTACCTGGCGGCCGCCGCTTCGGCGCGCCCGGGCGCCTCATGGCCTCGCGGCTCCGCATGATCTCCCGCAGCCGGAACGGGATCTCCTGCTCGTCCGGACACTTGGGCTTCATGTTGGCCACGTTCTTCTCCTTCCTGGGGAGGAAACGGGCACCGAGGTCTGCGCGGGGACATGGGGACATGGGGACGCCACACGGGGCAGTGACACACGGGGACGTGGGGCTGTGGACCGGCCGGACACCGGCACCTGGGCATGGCAGGACACTGGGGGACACTGGGACATCGGGACCTGGTACTGGGACACTGGGGGACACTGGGACATTGGGACTGTTGTCAGGGGGCACCGGGACACCAGAGAGCACCGGGACATTGGGACCCAGCCCTGGGAGGCTCCGGGACACCGGGATCCAGTACTGGGACACTGCGGGGCACCAGGACATTGGGACTGTCGCCGGGGGACACCGGGACAACGGAGGGCACTGGGACACAGGACCCGGTACCGGGACACTGGGGGGCACCAGGACATTGGGACTGTCGCCGCGACCCTGGGGGCACCGGGAGCGGCGCACAGCGGGACCGGACACACAGGGACACCGGCGGGCAGCAGGACCGGGCACGGGGAGCCCGGCACCGGAGCACGGCGGCACCGGGGCCGCAGGGCCCCGCGGGGCTCCCCGAGCGGGTCCGGGCACTGACCTGCCGCGGGGCGGCGCGGCGGCCGGGCCCGCTCCCGGTGTCGCTCCCTTTCCCGGTCCCGATCCATTTCCCGGTCCCTTTCCGGGTCTCGACCCCTTTCCCGGTCCAGGTCTCGATCCCTTTCCCGGTCCCGGTCTCGATCCCTTTCCCGGTCCAGGTCTCGATCCCTTTCCCGGTCCCGATCCCTTTCTCCATTTCGGGCCCTTTCCCGCTCCCAATCCATTTCCCGGTCTCTTTCCCGGTCCCCGAGCCATGGCGGCCCACATGGCTTCCCGCTGCCCTCCGACCCCGCCCCGCCCCGGCCCCCATTGGCTCCGCTCTCCCTGCCGCGCTCTCATTGGCGGTGGTGCAGGCCGCGCCGCGCTGCTATTGGGCGCGGGGGCTGCCGCTCAGGCGGGGGGTGGGCGTTGTTGCCAGGATGTTGCTGCGGGGCGCGCGCGGCCTGGCGCGGGGGTGGCGGGTGAGAGACGGGGGGACAC